GGGGGGGGGGGGGGTGTTGACTTCTGCTACCAAACCCCTCGATATAGCATTTTGTTTTAATAGAAATGGTTTTTCTTCCGTTATCTTCACTTATTCATTATTTAATTTTAACGCAAATAAAGCAGTACACGGGTTATATGCGCATCGTCCATCGCGAGGATCGAACCCCGGATTCTAGCATTATGACTTTGGGACGTTGTTTATCACGTGAAATCTCTACTGATGTTTCGAGCATAAGTCACTGCACCATGCAGTATACTTTACAAACTGTTATTAAAGTACATAGTTATCTTAGTATATAGATTTAGGAAAACGATTCTTAAGCCTGGTAAACGAAAACGTGTACTTTTAACACTTAGCCATCAATGAGAAGAAAAATGTAATTGTTTGTTTGTTTTTTTAAAAAAAACAATTTTGCAAAATAAGTAGTTCACATAGTGGCACGTGGGAAGTTTTGGTTACGTGGTTGAAAACCGTTGTTCATAAACACTCGACGTTTTTTTTTTTTTTCTTCTTTACAGGTTTTAGTTTACACAAAGTGGTCAGTTTTGTGGGTGTTTTAAGTGGACTGTTCCTCAGTATTGTCTCCCAAATACTGGACACGAGTTACTGTTACGGCTCTGTGACGATTAGTTGGTTGAAAAACGACCTGATGTGGGACACTAATGTCCAGGCATTGTGGACACTTGTTGGCTGTGGAGGTCTTGTGCTCTTTGTTGTCGGTCAGTGGAAAAGTAAGAACCTTCTAAGTGAACAGGAAGAACCGAAAGAGGTAAAAATTGCCTATCAAAAATTCGTTTAAATAGAAAGATATACACGTTTTATACTTAAAAGCCCGATCATCGAACATACACTGCGCATGCGCAACGTAGAGACCTAAAAAATTTTTTTTTGAAATTAAAATACATAGTGTATATATACATTGGAATTTAGATATTTTAATATTTGAGACTTTTAAAACCAAATTTCGCTTAATATTTACAATGAACAGTTTTAATATTGGTATTTTTAAACTGGACGTATAGGTCAGAAAGGCTTCGTCCGACTCCTGGAATCAAAAAAAGGGAATTCACTGTCGCTTTTATAAAATGCCCACCGCTGAAAGTGCGAAACGTGTTCAGCGACATCGCGACTCAAACCTTGGGCTTTTCAATCCGCATCCGACATGCTAAACAGTAGGCTACGCCCAACCGTAGTAATATAATAGTACTAAGACTAGCTTGCTGGTTCGACGGTTCTTTAGAATTATCATTGAAATTAATTCAATTAAAAATATATGATAGTAACAATTAATTAATGTTTAATCTAATAAGTAATATTGTGTTGTCAGCCATTACACATTTCCAGTTTGTTGATACAACAATACGTCTGAACCACTACTAAGGTCTGTCCGAACTGATGAGCCCTGGTATTAGACGAATGGCCTCATCGGTATTTAATATGGCAGATAAGGTGTGGTTTACATATTGTTATACATTTTTCTTTAGTTTCGATTTTAAGTTCTTAACATCAGTAATTAGAAAACTGATTTTGAGTTTCGAGTATTTTGGTATTTTTTTTTCCTTTGTTTTAAAATCTGTTACTGCTGTAAATAAAGAAGATTTTTAAAATTTATTGTTCTTAACAAATGAATAATTAATTATTTTTTCTCTGCTTTTAGGGAAAAGGTAAGAAAATAAACTTAAGTTAACGATATGTTTATATGAAATGAACATCAGATGTGTTCTTCAACCCTTCAGGGCCTTTCTACCTATGTAGTAGACATATAACAGGCAAACTACGCATATAAGTTTGGTATTATTCCATTATTATGTATTTAAACTTTCCACCTACTTTTTTACAAGTGATTATACTTTATTTAAGTTTGTTTCGAAGTTCGAAGGCTATGGCTTCATAAGTATTAACAAATAATATATTTATTAAATGAGTTTCTGCAAATAAAATAAAAGGAAACGAAAGCCCTCTCGTGACGGTAAACTGTAGTACCGGCGCACTTCTCCAGGTGGTAAACTTTCATCACGTTATTTTTGTTGCTTTTTTAAATATTTTGGACACAACACAAGTGATCTCCTCTATGTTGTAAGATAGTTTTTAAATAGCTGTAAACTTTAATATTATAATTTAACCAAGAATATAAGATTGAACTTTGAACCCAGTCGTCGTTTGCTTTAACTTATAAAGCTGTGTCCACCTAAAAATATTGGACTTTGTTTCTTCCTGACTTATAAGACGCCAACCAGCATGTTCTCCAAATCTGATTTCAAACCTCGAGGGCACGTGAACTTATACGTAACACACGTGATGCTTTTAGCGGCGATATTTTACTTTTAAACCTGAAGTATGGGTTGTAGTCTGTGTTCAGGCTTACAGATTATCCCCGTAGTTTCACATACTAATAAGCTATATAAACCAGTTTTTAAAGCTGATTTTCAACTTTAGACAGAGAGAGAAAAAGAAAAACAGAAACCGTATAGAGGTGTTTTGTCTGTACGAATATTTATGACTGATGTTATATAAAAATAGAAATTCTTTTTTTTTTTAAAGCAAAAAAGGTTTCTCTATTACCCCTTTCTTGATTTAAAAATATTAATACCTTTGTTTAAAGTTTTAGTTATATATATTTTTTTTTCGGAACTGAAATGGAAACCTTGAACAGACATCCGTCACCTTTAAACCTACGATCACTATATGAATTTCCAGTAACGGAATATATCTTCAAGGATTGGTTGGTTATTTGTTTCGGAACTTCTCGCAAAGCTACACAAGGGCTATCTGAACTAGCCGTTCGTAAATTTGTACCAATAAGCTAGAACGCGGGAAGCTAGTAAACAGTACCCTCCGCCATCATTTGGTTTACTTTAACCAAATAGTGGGATTTGTCCTTCTTTCCCTCTTATAAAGTACCCACGACCCTACAGTGACCCTCGATTTCACGGTCTGAACACGCTAACCATTGGGTGACGTCAGGCTTCTCTCCAAGGGAAGGCGATAGAATATTTAGTTAAATTTGGTAGGAAACAGTAATACTCGAAGTTCGATTTTCTTAATGTACTGTTTTACTTAAATAACGACAAGTTGGGACGCGTAAGTTTTTTGTTGAGGGTAGGAAATAAAATGATTGTTTTTCAATGTGTGAACAAAACGTAGATATTTGAAATGAAATTCATTCAAGTTTATTCTTAGAACCGAAATGTTTGTTTGTTGAATTTCGCGCAGAGCTTACTCGAGGATTATCTGCGCTAGCCGTTCCTTATTTTGAACGATAGACTGGAGGGACGGCAGCTGGTCAACACAGCCCACCGCCAACTCTTGAGCTGCTATTTTACCAACGAACAGTGAGATTGGCCGTAACATTATAACACGTTCTCACGGCTGAAGGAGCGAGCATGTTCGGTGACGGGGTTCGAACCCGCGACAGGCAGATTGTAAGTCGAATACCCACACCACCAAGACGAAGCGACATGTAACTGTGTTGCATTAAACGTGAAGTCTTAAAAATTGCGAAAAAAAAGGGGGGGGAAGCGGATTTTCAACTTAAATTATAGACCAGAGCAGTTTGAATAAACAGGGCCTGTTTTTATTAAGTATACATTGTTATTTTTTATATATAAAAGAATAGAATATTTATTCACGTTGTTTATATTGGCGCTGTAGTCGTGTATGGAGAGAGGGCCTACACGTTTGTTTGTTTTTGAATTTCGCGCAAAGCTACACGAGGACTATCTGCGCTAGCCGTCCCTAATTTAGAAGTGTAAGACTAGAGAGAAAGCAGCTAGTCATCACCACCCACCGCCAACTCTTGGGCTACTCTTTTATCAACTAATAGGGGGATTGACCGTAACTTAATAACGTCCATACGGCTGAAAGGGCGAGCATGTTTGGTGTGACGGGGATTCGAACCCGCAGATTGCGAGTCGAGCACCCCCTAACCACCTGGCCATGCCGAGGCCCTACATCTTATTTTTGCATAGCTGTTCTTCTCGAGTAAGTAAAAACTTTACAACCGAAAACTTTTAGCAAGTCTACTTCGACGAGGGCGTGTTTAAAAAAAAACTATTTCAGTTAATAGCAATTTAATATTTGTCAGCCAGATCCTGGAGGCACGTTTGCGCAAACTGGTATTTTGTTAACAATTGAAAATCACGAGAAACACCCGCTTCTATTGTTATGACGTTCAATCTGAGAATCTGTGTTCTAATACAGCTAGAGAACGTTTCAGGTTCTTAACATCTCGTTGACTGGAATTCTTTCAGGTTTAAAAACAAGACGAAAAAACGGGATTTAATTGTAATCAACAAAAATTAATGACGTGTACTAAATAATTCACTAACAAGTGAAGAGAAAGATATTTAAATATGAGATAAACGTCTTGATAAATAGAATAATCACTATTAGGAAGTTCAATAAAACTGAAAGGACGCAGATTTAGCCTGGCTAGAAAAATTGAAGCGTCCCCTCGAAAACCGCTTTGTGGCAAACATAAGATAAACTACCTGATTGATTCTACACACCTAGTGTCTGAAATATGTACTAACACAGTTGTGATGGTTAGAAAACAACTTGGCCCGGCATGGCCAGGTGGTTAAGGCACTCGACTCGAAATCTGAGGGTCGCGGGTTCGAATCCCCGTCACACCAAACATGTTCGCCGTTTCAGCCGTGGGGGCGTTTTAATGTTACGATCAATCCCACTATTCGTTGGTAAAAGAGTAGCCCAAGAGCTGGTGGTGGGTGGTGATTCCCTAATTTAGCAGTGTAAGACTAGAGGGAAGGCAGCTAGTGGGCTATCTGCGCTAGCTGCAATCCCTACTTCATCATAATGTTTTTCAAATATTTTCTATTACTATATTAAAAAAAGCAAACGACGTTTAGCAAGATTTGATTGTTTCTAAAACATGTCTACAACATAACTTAATAAGATCCAGTAAATAGTGGTAGCTTATAATATTAGTTATCATCTGTTGGTAACGTATCTGTTGGTAACGTATGAAATTGTTTTCTGTTTGTTTTGTATTAGTTATCATCTATTGGTAACGTATGAAATTGTTTTATGTTTGTTTTTTAATTTCGCGCAAAGCTACACGACAATACCAAAAAAGTACAGAAACTTCGGAGGGATGAATACACAAAACCATACAAAAATCACTACACAAGTAACCAAATGTGTCCAAGATAAACTTTTATCTACAACTAAATTTTGAATTCCTTTCATTTGCATGAATTGAGGTTTGAATAAAAACATTTAAACCGAATAGTGCTATAAATCTTACAATGGACAATTCCCATAAACTGGTAACATTGACTCAGTAGCTATTTATGGAACCCACAATTCAGCTGAGCCTAAGTCGACGCCATTTTACTAGGTGGCGTACTTAGGCCTACAATTTTGATTACTGTGGTAGGAAGAGAATGTTATAAGCATGTTTTTTTTTGTTTTTTATTTTGTGATATTCACAGTTAGAGAAATTTTGTAGGCCTTCGTGCAAATCTACACCGGGACTGCTTTTGTATAGCCGTCACTAATTGTGAAGGAAGACAGCTAGTCAACAGCACACACTGCCATCTGTTGGGCTACCCTAATCAATGTCAATGTTATAATGCCCCCCCCCCCGACCTCAAAGTATAAAGCGCATTTTTACGGCAGCAGTACGCTAACCACGAACCCTTGGATTTACAGTGCTGACAATGCTCTTTTTTTATTTTATAAAATAAATCATTTTATTTTTAGTTATTATTCAACCGCATTATTTTCTAAGTCCCAGGTAGAGCTACTTGCGATAGCGTGACAAAAATGTTTAGTACTGAGGCATGTAGTGTCGTCTATACAAGAACGGATTTGTGTTTCTTATTTAAATCATATTTCAAAACATCAAGTAAAAATAGTTTATTGCAAAAACCGAACAAGAAGAATTTGTAAAAGCAGTGACCCCGTGGACTGATTAAAAATACAATTAAAGTATATACCTTATCAAAAAACTTTTAATAGACATTACCAATATCTTGTTGTAGAAGTGTGCGTGTGGCGCCCTCTCTAGACTAAATCAAGTATTCTATCATGCGTTTGATTTCCATTACCAATATACAAATATTATAAACTTGTATGTGAAGTGAAAGCGTAAAGCAGTCACCTTATAAAGAAAATATATATTTTTTTTTTATTGTTATCATCTTCTGACGGCCCTGGTGATGAAATTTTATATACCTTACAGCCCCTACTGGCCGCTTCTTTAAACACTAAACGATGCAGATCTAAATACTTGAACAAAATAAAAATTAAGAAAGAAAAAACAAGATTTAGTTTTAGTATCAACTGATGCCCTACTTTCGAACAATAATTTAGTTGTATTTAGTTTCATGCCCCCAGTGGCACAGCGGTATGTCTGCGGACTTACAACGCTAGAAACCGGGTTTCGATACCCGTGGTGGGCAGAGCACAGATAGCCCTTGTGTAGCTTTGTGCATAATTAAAAACAAACAAACAAACAATTTAGTTTCATAATGTTATGGCCATTATAACGGCTTATAACGCTAACAAATGGGTTTAGATATCCGCGGTAGGCCCAGCACAGATAGTCCAATGAGTAGCTTTGAGATTAACAACAAATAAGCAGACTTCGTTATGTCAAGAAACAACTTCGTTGTTAGATAACAGAACACTGGCCCGGCATGGCCAGGTGGTTAGGTCACTCGACTCGTAATCTGATGGTCGCGGGTTCGAATCCCCGTCACACCAAACATGCTCGCCCTTTCAGCCGTGGGGACGTTATAATGTGCAATCAATCCCACTATTCGTTGGTAAAATAGTAGCCCAATAGTTGGCGGTGGGTGGTGATAACTAGCTGCCTTCCCTCTTGTTTTACACTGCTAAATTAGGGACGGCTATCGCAGATAGCCCTCGTGTAGCTTTGCGCGAAATTCAAAACAAACAAACAAAAGAAAACTAGTTGGTAATTGTAGATTTTGTTTTATTTCTTTTTTTTTTTGTACATACAGGAAAGTAAATAACTTATTCTTATGTATTTGCAGACCTAAATTATATCTGTAATTTAGAAAAATTAAATAAACAAACGTTTTACATATTTTTATATAGGAAAAGGACGTAACCAAACAAACTGAAATTGCTGGAAAATGCTGGTCGAATGCTATCACTCTAGCCACTGTTGTTCAGTTTTCGACCACAATAGTAGTGGTGGCGCTTTTCTGGGTGGATATATTTTGGCCATTAGGCAAGGTAAGAATATACATTGCTCAAAATAATCAAAGAACATTGGAATTTTTTAGTATTAATGCTACGTCATTGTTATTCAAATATGTCAAACGCTCGCGATTATAACTTGTGGTTTGCAATTCTTATCTTTAAATGAATTAGTTTTCCAAATCCAAAAATCAGTGCCATATCTACGAAGCATCACGGAAAAACAAATTAATCGAAACTGTTTTGAATCATTTAAAATTTTTTTTCAATACACAAGTAATCTTATAAGCAAAGAACAAATTATAAAATGAAATATGTCTACACTAAAAACAAATTTATATGTTTTTTTTTTTTATAAACTTATAAGTATTGTCGTGAATTAAAGTATTTTAGGCTTGCTTTATTCAAGAACTGGGAGGAGGGGGAATCATTTGGCTAAAATTCTTTCATCGGTATGTCGTGGTATAATTTTTATCACTTAAAGATATTTTCACCGTTTAATATTTTGTTTTTTAGCTAAGTCACATAAACCCCCATCAGACAGCGATAAAATTAGTTTTAAAAAGGTAGATTATCTCCAATCTTAAGCATCATTAAAAATACGCAGTTGTTGTTGAAATATATTTAGTGTGATAATTAACCAGCAGGGCGAGTAAAGTTGTCAAGCAATAAATGAGTAACCCGTAGTGAAGTCATTATTTAAACTGTTGACAAAGTGTAGGGTTAAGTAATCTTTCGTTTACTAACAGATTTGTTGTTATTATCTCCAATTCTTTACTGGTGTTATTTCATAATGTTCCATCTATAGACCATTTTTAGGAATATTACACGAGTATACGCAGTGGGCAACATTGAAGCCGAGAAAAGTATAGACAGAATGAAATGTTTCATTCTTAATTGGACCTAAACAGGTTTTTCACGGAGACCCGAGTGTTAATTGCTAGAGGCCGATGCCGCCGACGTGATCTTTTGCTTTATAATAAAGATTTTAAAGCGGCTTAGTTTAAGGCGTAGCTCTAACACGAGTAAATGTTCCATACTGGACTGGTTTAAAAGTAAAGCGAAATAAATCTAGTAGTCTTATTTTGCTATAGTTGAATAGAGGCTTTGTAATTGAAGTCGGTAAACATAATTAATTTTGATTGACGACCATATTGTACAATCACTCGTATAAACTTAACTTCGACGTCTTCTTTATGCGTTTTTTAACAACTACTAGATAAATTATAATATGTACGTCGTGAATATTATCTATTTATATTAGATGTGGTACTTTAGGCACTTTTTTTTTACTGCACTGTTTCTTTTACAAAAAAAAAAAGTCTTATTTACGTTCGTAGGCCTACCATTCGTATATGGCCAACTCTGACTATCAGTATTTATTACGCAAAGCATGCAAAACGGCGTAGCAAATACCGTATTTTTCGGAATATAAGACGTACCCTTATTTTGAAGACAGTTTTTTTGGGAAAAAAAGCTACAGTTGCATTTGAAAGATTTTTAT